AATTTCATTGTGGTTTTAATATAACTAACACGACGATTTTTTTAGTTTGAATTAGAAGACGGCTACGTTGCACAAAGCTTTTCTAGGGACTTGCGTCTGGGTTTAATTCAGTTTTGCAGGACTGGTTTCAGTCGCTGAATCGTTTTCAGCGTCTTTGTTTGTATTAAACTCATGCTTCCAGAAATGATAACGGATCACAGCTGCCGGTAGTCCGGTTTGCAACTCGCCCAACTGAACTAGAACCAGGCATCAGCGTTGTATTTTAAAAATTATAAGGAAATCCTATGGCATTGAAAACCGACACATGCCTCAGCCATAATAAGTCATATTACATATTTGTAAATCCTTCTGGGTCTAATCATCAAACCTAAACAATCAACGCAGAAGCATTAGAAACATTATGCGATCATCGAAATGTTCGCAAAATTATTTTCGTCATTTATCCCCTTCCTGTGACACAAGCATATGTCCAGTTTGGTGCCAGTTTCCTTAATAAAAAATGAAAGTCGGCGATAATCCGCATTCGCAATGCTGTATGCTAATTGTTATTTACCAAGTCTTTGTTTTACAGCCTCCTCCTAAATATATGTTCTAAAGTGAAACAGGTTCATTATACTCCCATTTTGTTTGCTCACATCCTCCTGACGTAGCGCGAACCTCATCCAACACTTTGTACGCGACTTTTCCTTGTACACATCCCGCCTTCATCCATTATTAATTGAATCAATACTCCCAGCTGAATTTCAATGCGTATAGGCTCTGTTCAGGTTCACCTACTATGTTATTTTTGATTATACGCATCAGATTCTGTACTTTGTGCTAAAATGTTTTGAAAATCTCTCACGTGCCTTTAAACTCTGAAGTCTGAATTTTACTGTTGTAATAAATACGGCTCTAGGTTGGAGATGCAACTGTCGCACAACATTGTGTAATCTGCGTGAGGGAAATAAAAGTTAAAATATAACCTGAGGAAGGCACAAAAATCGGTGAGTGCAATCCGATACAGTAATGAAAAGTTGCCTGTCAAGAAGAACACATAGCTGTCAGTCAAAACGGACAGCAACCACTCTGGGTAATGCATTTGTTGCGCTCGTGCCAACGTCCTCCCGCAAATGCTTCCCATCACAAAAATGGCATACCATGAGGGTAGAGACTGTTCCATACGCAGTAAACACCATAGTCACAAATTTACTCAGAACTTTTTTATTGCTTATTCACAAAGCACAAAGGGAAATGGGAAAAAATGCCACAGACCTGACCAATCGTCAATGATCCCTTATGATCAAAATTTCCAATTTAATAATAGAAGGGAACTGCAAGTATATAATGTGTTTACGGCAATTATAAAGATGTCGATGAACAGACTGTGCTGTAGTGGTCCATAAGTCGAATTTCTGTTTTAAAGCATGCTCAAGCAAATTTCGGGCGCTTAGGTGGAGAAAAGTACATTTCCAAAGTAAAAATTGTATGGCAAAATTTGCAATCATTAAAAGCATTCACCAAAGCGAGATTTTTCTATAAAGTCTAACTCATGTGGACATGGTAGGGTTTTCCGTTCGATGGCAAGCACACAAAAGACACATCTGATTTTCCTACGTAGTACTCCTATGTAAGTCTTTCATATGCGCATACTTTGCAGACACCTCTTGAAGGAAGGCCTAGAGCGACATCGGTCTGTCTAGGCCAATTTTTTGAACTCACGACTGTCCACGGAAAGAGTTAGACGGCGCCCTCTCGGTGATACACACTGTCAGAGAACGCGCAATTACGTTAAAGTGCATACAAAAACGGTTCAAAGCAAACCTAGTGCCCTCTTGTTAACGTTTTGTGGAATAACTCCAATTAAAGGCTTCCAGGATAAATTTGAGAAAGACAGGGATATTCTGATAGGCTCTACTCTTACCATACTAATTGCGGCAGTTGACCTTCAATAGACAGAATGGTTTGTAGTCCGCCAGTATAAATGGAAATACTATGCTAACTTTGTCAGTCATAGGTTTGTTGGCGTTAAAACAAATCGTTCTGAACACATGTTGAGAATATCTGATCTGAATTAGTTGGGTAATTGATTTCCTCTCCTTCATGACTCAATTCGTCGAGGCATCCTTCGAGAGCTGGAAACTACAGGTTTATAAAAGTCAGACGGCTCCTGAAGTCTGACAGCAACCGACATCCGTATTGCAGCAAATTTCGGATTGATAGCCCATGACGAATTCTAGAAACGTGATTCTATTCAACAGTGCACAAAAGCCTGAAAAACCCAAACCACCTAAGGACTGCATAAGAAACTGATGCCTGTAAGGTGCCGTCGGACAAATTAGGACTGGACGACTTGGAAAGGAAAAAAACATTTGCATGTCATAGTAGATAGAACCCGCAAACGTTAGACTTTATAAAACTCTAAGCGACCGCTAATACTGACACCCTTCCTGTCTGCACACACTCATTCTTATCTGACTGTTATCATTGTACAGAACACAGAGTGTGATATGAGGTCTGAAGCTAGGATGTTTAATCCACACAGGCCTACAAAAACAGGGTCTTGAAGCCCTGTAGCCGCCCTCTAATCAGGTAATCAAGTATAAACAGAGTGGTCTTTTTTGGAAAGGTGTTCTACCGCGAGCTGATTTGGTCAACTTACCAAAGCCCGGTGAGTAAGCTGAACTTCTTCCACAAAGATAGCCTTTGATGAATACCGAAAGAAAGGTAAAAGAGATGGACAATTAATTTCAGGTTACTGAAATCAACAGGCAGGCTGTACATAAGTGCCAAAGGTTCAGCGATGATAAAGCGTACGCGTAAAAGACATAAACAAGTAATCTGACCGCAGCTCGAAGTCAAGGAAAACAAAATCCGGATCTAAAGGAACACACTTTAAATCACACGAATGTCTCCAAACCAACAAAATGATATGCAAAATGTTTGTATGGTATCTAAAAGCATAGCGAATAGCTAAAAATACTAGAGCTGCTTTTTTGAAGCCAAAAATTAGTCGAGATTAAGACAAAGAATAAGGGTGTAAGCCGGCAGCCGTCAAGTTCTGACGTCTGCCAATAAGCATTGTTTCCAGCGACCGGTTCAGCGTACACATATGTCTTGTTGGACACGTTCGCATTCATGGTAACGTCAAAACTACAAGTCTATTTATCTCGAAACAAATTCTAACAAGCGTAGAGTACCCTGTCCTACTGCTCGTTACCAGTGTGAGAGCAACTATCGTTTACGTCTACTCTAGTCCGACATCTTAGTAGCTAACACAAACCAAACAACAGTGCTAACATCTTTTCCTTCTCAGCGCAGACTCTGAAAAAAAACCGACCTTAAAAACTCATCGACGCAGTCCTTTCTTGCCCACACTGTACACACTCACCCGGTGTCTAATAGGTCAACCATATAATCAGTAACTATGAATCTGTCACAGTCTACGCTCCGTGACTTCTTGGAACACCACACCAGTGATGTGCTTCCACATTTAAGCCATAGGTCTTGTTGGGCATCATTGGATTAATCGTAATGTCGTTCCATAAGAAATAACCGCCAGTATTAGTAAATCCCTCCTAGTTGCTACCCTGTGCTGACACCAACGCAGTTAACACAATGTTAAAACAGGGCCGATTTCCCCATTGTGACTGCGCACTCCAATTTTCGTGGACTTCAGTGCCTGAGCACATGCCAAAACTCATCGTGCAGTACTTTTCCACCCACACTGTCACAGTTTGGCCGTCGCATTCGAAGATATTCCTCGTGTGCTCCACGGCAAGTTGAAGCAGGGACGGTGACTTTGCGTCATTTAGGTTATAGTAACGTAGACACGCGCAGCATCTACCGTTCTCTCTCCTCCTCCCAACTTTAACCGATTGTTATGACATCGTCAAGAAGACCGAAGGCAGAGGGTGGATAGCATGGTCGAGCCCGCACCTTGGCGCTTTAATCCTCACTCCTTGGTCCACAGAGCAAATAACCAGGACTTTAATCAAAAACACCAAAAGAGGCTGGCGCGGCCGAAGCCGCAATTAGGCGTGCCGCCCATATCCGTCTCGGATCCCACGGAGTGGAAATGCTATGAAGGACGCATTAAGCAGCAGCTATTGTAGCCTGACTCGTAGACTACCAGTCGGCCGCTACACACACGCACACGTAAAACACTGGGTAGTCTGCGACCTCCAAGTTATCCCGTCTGTTGGCATCCTTCCAAGCCACGGCTTTTGGTGCACCGAGATAGCTTCAAGTGCGTCAGATAGTTTGTAGTGAGAAAGTGCGCTAAGTCGTCGACCTCACTTTTTCTTCTCCTTCCCAGGCCCTAATCACTCTCCAAGTCGCATAGTTAACATGTGCGAAGAATGGACCCATACTCACCCATCGCAGGTCCCTATCCAGTCAGCTTTGCAACGGTCACTGAAATTTCATACACCTTTGATTACAAACCTGCCACAATTCACGCTCCGTTAAATTTGAACCACACCGGTCGTATGCGTTCGCACTTAAGCCACCCATGAGCCCATACATCAACCACGCTCTGATCACACTCCGATGACCAGCCCTGACGCGGCAAACGACAAATTCTACGATGACCCGCACGCCCCCCTGGCGACTGTGCCCATGGCGGATAAAAAGAGCGTTTTTGATGACTCCAAAGCCCGCGTCTGCATAGACCATGCTGTCTAGAGAGAAGTTCTGGGGTACCACGGTCTCAACGGCTCCAATAACAATAGACTGCTCCTTCTACAAATTTGCGCCGAACACAGGCTCATCCTGACGAACACTTTTTCGCCCCTGATGCGAGAGAAGATCACCTGGATGCACCTTCGGCCGCGACAGTGGCACCTGATGGACTATGTCTTCGTCCGGAGGCGAGACCAGCGGGACGTGCTGATGACAAAGGCGATTCCTGGTGCCGACTAGTGGGTCGACCATCGTCTCATCATCTCCAAGATGCGGATTCACCCACAGTGTCGCAGAAGACCTCAAGGTAGAAGACCCCCGTTAATTTGAATATTGCTATGTTGTCTTTGCTGGCTCACCATCACCATTTCAGTAGCAAGCTTGCTCAGTGGCTAGCCAATATTCCAGTCGCTGCTGCCACCACCGCGGCCGACGTTGACGAGAACGTCTCCGAGGAGAACCGACGTTGTCAACTGCGGGACACGGTTCAAACGACGGCCCTGGCTGTCCTCGGTCACGCACGACGCCAACACCAGGACTGGTTCGATAACAACGGCGTCACCATCAGCAACTCGCTTTCCAAGCGGAATCGCCTGTAAAAAACCCGCGACGACAACGGAACAGCCTTCTACCGTAGTCGCCGCTTTGTGCAACAGTGACTGCGCGAGATGCAGGACGCTTGGGCGGCTCGCAAGGTCGAAGAGATCCAAAGACACGTGGACCGCAACGAATGGAAGAACGTTTTCACGTCGATCAAGGTTCTCTACGGCCCTCCAGCCATAGGTACCGCTCCTCTTATCAGCGCCACCGCAGTACCCTCCTCACTGACAAGACACAAGTTCTACAACGATGGGCCGAGCACTTCAGATGTGTCCTGAACTACCCGTCCACCATCTCTGACGCCGCCATCGCCGCAAGTGAAGACCATCGTCGACCTCGACCTCCCGTCCGCTCTATATAAAACCATGAGAACCCTGCAGTAGCTCTCCAGCAGGAAAACACCCGGATTGGACGAGATCCGATCTACAAGCACAGTAGTCCTCAACCCATGGATCATCTGACAGCGTTCTTCCAGGAAAATTGGAGTCAAGAAGGAGTCCCACAGGATTTCAAAGACTCCACAATCGTCCAACTATATAAGCGGAAAGATAATCGCCAGCTCTGTGACAACCACTGCGGCATTTCTCTGCTGAAGATCACTGGAAAGGTCTTCGCTTGCATTGTTCTCAACCGCTTGAACAACCATCTGAAACAAGGTCTCCTGCCGGAAAGTCAATGCGGTTTCCGTCGTCATCGTGGGACCACGGATATGATCTTTGCCGCCCGTAAACTTCAGGATAAGTGTCAGGAGATGCGGACCCACCCTTACTCTACCTTCGTGGATTTGACGAAAGCCTTCGACACGGTGAACCGTGATAGACTGTAGAAAATCATGCAGAAATTCAGCTGTCCCGAACTATTTACTCAGATGGTACGCTGAGTGACCGATCTCATGAGATGTTAGCCGAAATTCTGAAATGTGTTTCCGAGTAAGAAGAATTACTTAAGTGGGTTTTGTAATACTGATTTTTTACGGCATAATCCTATCCTATGTCAAATTTGGCAGGATGTTGGCCTTTGGGTACATTTCTTTTCAGTCTCCTGCAGAAACTGTACTCA